TGTACTCAGACCAGTAATATTTGGGGTCACAAGTTTTTGCCATGGATATTTAGTGGGTCAGAAGATAAAAAGTTTGAAAACCACTGATCTAGACTACTGTTAAATGTTTGGTCAGGAGCCTTAAGAAAAGACTGAAATAAACATAAAGAGTTCAGAATAAAACTGGGAGTAACTTTAGAACTCATGTAGACTTCATGCATCAAAGCCCATCATAGATAAAACAATCAGGAGAGGTTTCTTCCCAACATTGTAACTTTATATAAACCTGTTGGTCTTTTCTCTCAGATGTTGTCCACCTTTAATAAAACCATGGTTCCAGTACAAGGCAGGCTTTTACCTCTGCCCAAAATAATATATATATAAATAAAGTATATTTATGTACAGAGTTACTCCCTCCTGTTCAAACAAATATTCATGATCAATTTAAAAACAACTTGAAAATATCTAATATTAATGTGAGTGACAGATTATGATCTGAATGTTCCAGTTGTCTTCTTACATGAGTTGTGTTGATTGTTGTGATTTGTTGTGTTGTATTGGTTATACAGTATTTGTTTAACGTGGTTTCATGTTTTGTAGTAGTCCCTTATACAGTAGTGGTACTACAGAGTAAGAGGGATCCAGTAAATAACATAAATGCACTTTTATGTTTGGGAAATGTTTGATGTCCTGTGGGGTCTTACCTCCTGAGCGGCCCCCATCAGGCTTGTAGTCTCCAGTTCCCACATCGACCAGGTCTGAGTCATCAAAACTTCCACCGCCTGCAGGAAACCACCACCATCATGTGTTGTAGCTTCATGTCACAGTCAGCAGCACGCAGTCTTATTCAGGGTTCTGATCCGTGAAAACTGGACCAACTCACCTCCCCCAGACTTTGGTGGGACAACGGCAGGTTTGTCCGGTTGTGGTTTGGGGTCTGTGGACACAGAGAGACCAGGAATGAATACAGCACCTTCTGTGGCTGAACACTGGAAGGATCCAACAAAACAAGACAAACGATCATTTCTGTCACCAACAGTGTGAGCTGAGAGGGCTAAAGCTCAGCTGTTCAAGTTTAAACAAGCAGAAAGGCTGAATGAGCTGAAAAAAGGCTAAAAACAGCAAAACAGCAGCTAAAAATAACTAAAAGTAGAAAAACAATAATCTGAACTAACTAAAGCTAGAAAGAGCAAAACAACAGGTAAAAGAAGAATAGCAGCTCAAATTAAAAAATAACTAAATCGAGAGAAAAACAGAATCTGAAGCTAAAATGTGACAGAAGGATCCAGTGGTCCTGATTCTGGCTTACCCTGGTCAATGGCGTCCCCCAGATCAAAGCCGAAGCCATCTGTAACAGAAGCACAGAAGGTCAGGTTACTGTGGTGACACACCTGCAGGTACGTCTGACATGTTACGATAAATGAACGGAGCAGACAAATAGCAGCTGGACGTCAGAATCCAAACTAGCAGAAGAGCTGTGCTAACTACTAGCATCACAACCAACAACAAGAGGCTAACAGTAACGTGTGCGGAGGTACCAACCATCTGGTTTAGGCTTCGCTGTGGGCTGCTTCTTTGGAGGGGCTGGCGCTGGAAACAAAGAAGAATTAGCATCATTAGCATGTCTGACAGGATAAAAGAGCAGACAGAGAGGAACTGCAGGACAGATTTACCCACTTGGATCATCAAGAGCATCACCCAGGTCAAATCCTGTAGGACAAAGAAGAACTCTCAGAATTCAACAGTGGACAGTAGGGTTGGGCAATACTGGCAAAAAAAATCATGATTAATTGTGGAATTTAGCTGATAACGATTAATTTGGTGATTAATCCCCTGGAGTCCCTGGACACCCTTATGTCCTAGTCACATGACCAATATAGTGGAAAAAATTGATCATCATAAAAATCTGTTCCAAATTGTGTCAAAATTACAGACTTCAGGCTCTACATCATATTTTAAATTGTGTTGATAGATAAATAAATTACAGAACTTTGTTTTTAAATTTTGGTCATATTTGAAGCAGAGAGGAGCACCGAGAGGCCTGACCGGACTAATCCCCGTCAGTCTGCCTGGTGCCATTAATCATATTAACCATCAACTGCCAAGATGTAATCGATTATTGTTTTTCTGATGATTAATTGCACATGATACGATTATGCCCAACATTAGAGGACAGAAACAAACACTCAGACAGGTATAAACATCTTGTGCCCACACGTTTCAGTAGAGACCGATAAAAACTACTGAAACCAAAGAACGGGGGGAAGACAAGTCCCTTCTCAAAGCAGAGGTCACAGAGATCGTTCTCAAAGAGAGGTCACAGAATTCGTTCTCAAAGCAGAGGTCACAGAGATCGTTCTCAAAGAGA